TTCTGTAGGTCAGGGAGGTTCTGTAGGTCAGTGAGGTTCTGTAGGTCAGTGAGGTCCAGTGGGTCAGTGAAAAGGTCAGTGTCGTCCAGAACAGTTCCCAGATGTTTGTATTGATGCTCCACCTCAACAGTCTTTGTACATAAAATGAATAAAGGAGTGAAAGGACGCGGCCCGAGGGGAACTGGTAGAGGACAGAAGACATCAGAGCCCGAGGGGAACTGGTAGAGGACAGAAGACATCAGAGCCTGAGGGGAACTGGTAGAGGACAGAAGACATCAGAGCCTGAGGGGAACTGGTAGAGGACAGAAGACATCAGACACTCTCACCCGTTCACCCTGACCCGCTGCACATTAAAGTGGCTCCAAAAGTTTTAAACCTCTGGAAATACGGTCTTCCGAACCAGTTTTTCGAATGACTTCATAACGAAAGAAGTCAGGGCAACAGGCCTGAAGTGGGTCAGGGACTGAGCAGTCTTGGTTTTTGGGATTGGAACAAAACCGAGTCTGTCCAGAGCTGTGGGACCCTAAAGGTTCGGAGAGACATGTTGAAAAGGAAGCAGAAAACATCTGCTAGCTGCAGGGCTCAGTTCTTAAGAGTCCCACCTCTGTGCCACCACCAGGACTTTTCCTTAGTCTTTTGAAAAATGTTAGCCACACTTCCAATGTCAGTCTGTACTGTTGCACCTGACGGGGCTTCTTTAAAACCAGAAAGCTCCTCGGTAGAACACAAGTTACTGAAAGCCAAGAGCTCAGCAGCTATTCTCATGAATTAGTTTGTTTCATGGTTTAAAATCTAGTTTCATTTAAAAATGAACCCACTGAGGGGCCCAACTGAGCTCACCTGTGGGCCTGATTTGACCCCAGAGCCGTCAATTGAATAGTCCTGAGCTAAAGCTTTGATTGGTGATATGTGCTGCTGATTACCCATGCTGCTGATTACCCATGCTGCTGATTATCCATGCTGCTGATTATCCTATCTCACTGATCTTCTGCAGCCATATGTCCCACTGCGCTCTCTGAGGTCAGCAGACCAGATGCTTCTCTCAGTCCCAGAAACCCGTCGTAAGCTCAGAGGTGACAGGGCTTTCTCTGTTGCAGGTCCACGACTGTGGAATGAGTTGCCACTGAGTGTCCGGCAGGCTCCCACACTCTCAGTCTTTAAGTCTCGCTTGAAGACCCACTTCTATTCTCTTGCCTTTAACACGGTGTGATTTGTTTTGGTCCGGTCTGTTCTCTACTCTGTTGGCCATTTTAGTTAGCTCCTGCTGCTATTTGCATCTGTATTTCTATTTTATGTTTTCCTGTCCGCTGTGCATGTTTGGTTCTTTTGTACAGCACTTTGGTTGGCCTTGTTGCTGTTTTAAGTGCTATATAAATAAATTGGTATGGTATGGTATTACCCATGCTGCCGATTACCCATGCTGCTGATTACCCATGCTGCTGATTATCCATGGTGCTGATTATCCATGCTGCTGATTATCCATGCTGCTGATTATTCATGCTGTTGATTACCCATGCTGCTGATTATCCATGCTGCTGATTATCCATGCTGCTAATTATTTCATGCTGCTGATTACCCATGCTGCTGATTATTTCATGCTGCTGTATTCATTCGTACTCATCTACTACAGACTCATGTTCGTGCTGCTGTTAGGCGTTTTGTTTTGCACGATTAGTGTTCAATGTATTTATTAGTTTATAGCTTAGATCCTTATTTACTGTTTATTTTTATAATTTATATTTTTGCTATTGTTGGATGCAACTGGGACCCTGTGTACACAATTTCCTTCCACCTCATGCACCACGTGATGCGAATGATGAAACCTACTTGAACTTAAAGAATAACAAAAAGGTTTAAGGCAAGATGTTTGTAGCTAAAGACTAGTTAAGACTAGTTAAAATTTCAAAAAGCTAACTAGTAGTTAACATAGCAATAAGCTAGCTAGATGCTAAAAGTAACAGACTAAATCAGCGCTGAAGCAGATTTAATGAAAACAACGTTTTTCAGTAACTGAACAGATCCTGATGAATTTATGAGGAAAAAAAAGTTAAACATTTTCAAAAGTACAAGATTTACTAAAACTAAAAGTCACAGAACTCCTCTCTCCTCACACAATGAGAAGGTTTGTAGAAATAAATAACAGATATAAAGAATAATAATTATTTTTTTACCCTTCCGGGTTGATTCTCGGATTTATTTTCACTTCCGGTCCGACATGAATGAAAACTTGACGTTTTGGAGCTTCATTTTAAACCCGAAGGGTCCAAACAGCTGAGACCGACCGGCTCCAGAACCTCGCTTTGCCCGAACAACAGCAGCCCTGAAGATGCGCGCGCGCCTCAACAGAGGGCAAGCACTTCCGGTTCCCCTAACCACCTTTTCAAAATAAAACACTCGCACAGCGGAAACTAATTTTTCAGCTCCTAATCCACAAAATACCAAAAGCAGAAGTTGTGACACTAACTATATTTTATTTAACATTACAGATAGGTCAATTAAACAAGGATTATTATAATAAAATAAATATTATAACCTGGATAAATAAAGGCTAAATGAAAAAAAATAAAATAAAATTATGCTATTTTGTTGGCTTACATCAACACATTTTTAACTTTCATAATAATAACGAATAAAAAAACGTATTTTAAAATTATTTGTCATCTGAGACATGCAGCCTGGAGTTTTGTGACCCACAGTGGATTGAACCCCAACTTTGAGAACCGCTGCACTAAAAGGGGGTTAAGACATGACCCAGGTTGTTTATCTTGGTCTAAAACTAAAAAAACACGGACGGAACCCTCGGGAGCAGTTTTTAAACACTCACAGGAGCAAGCTGAAGGTTTCTGAGAACTTTCTCACACACCGAAGTCAGCTGATGAAGGTGGCGGCTCCCACAGTGAGGCTGTTTTTCAGCTACTGTCTTCAGCTGACAAGTAAAACCAGCAGGACTCTGAGTCCCGAAGGGGAGAGCTGAAAACAAGACTTAAAGTTTTATTAAACTAAAAACAAAACCACAGACCAGAATCATTTGTAAAACACTTATAATAATAATTGAATATAATAATTTGAAATAGTTTATTTCTCCTCGTAGCTCATAATTGTGAGAATGCTGATTCAGTGTTTTAAAAATTCAGCTACTTTGTTGCATTTTAGCCAGTCATATTCAAAATGTTCAGCAGACTGTGACTTTTACTTTTCATAACTTTTATACTTTTCAAAATATTTAACTTTATTCAATATTTTCCTCGAAACACACGAGGATTTCTTCGATTCCTTCAAAAACTTTATTTTAAATCTGCTTCAGCTACTGGCTCCGTTTTGTCTTTTTA